TTGGTATTCGTGTTCTTCATGGATTTCGCTTGTTTCTCTTGGTGGTTGCCACCACCCTAGACAGTTGGAGCAGCGGTGAAGGATCGGCACGAGTTGGTGATTGTTCGTGGCCGCCTTCGGTGATTGTGAGGGGAGTTGTACCTTCTCCGGCGGAGTGCCGAAAGGTAACTCTAGTAAATTGCTCGTGTCATTGAGTTACCTCACTTGTGGGTCGGTTCTTGCGGTGTCCTATTGTGTGGACGAGGTTTGTGAAACACCTCTTAGCCGCCGAACCACCAAGTGTTGGTCGACACAACGGGGACTAGCGTGTTGGCAAGCACGTGAACCTCGGGAGAAAAATTGGTTGTCTCTTGTCATTTGCATTCTCCCGGTGATTGGCTATATATTCATCGTGTAATTGGTTCACTCCACGACCCGGTGGTATAATCGTCTCACTTACTCATTTACATTTCCGCAAACTAGATATAGCAAGCTCTTTAGTGTAATTAGAATTGAGAGCTTGCCTTGTGCTTTAAACATATCTAGTGGAGCTCTTTAGTGTAGCTTTTGTGAGAGCTCTTAGTGAGTAGTGGTCAAGTAGATTGTGTGCAAATAGATCATTGCAACTAGAATTGTTGGATAGGTGGCTTGCAACCCTTGTAGAGCTAGAGCAAGTTTGCATTTCGCTATTTGTCTTACTAATCAAATTGCTCTAGTTGATTTGTAGTTTTTAAATAGCCTATTCACCCCCCCTCTAGCCATATTAGGACCTTTCAGCTAGCTGACTTATTTGCGAAAAGCATAAGCTATCATAAAGAAACCATTTTAAGTACTTTGCATCATCTTTATTATGACCTATCCATCTAGGTAAGCACCTGTACTATAGCAATCACTTGATTAACCAATAACATCCAGTTACCAACTTAGATTTAGCATATCCCATATCATCCAGATAACCATCATTGTTCCATAATAATTACTACGATGCCGTAACTCGAGTCAAGTGCTCACTATCCAGGAGCGATGGCGATTCGAATCGATTTCTAACCAGCTGGTGATTTATTCCTTACACAAACCTCACTCACCCGCTAAAGTGAGATATTGATCACCGAGTCAACTATCCAGGAATCTCGAGTTTGCCAGGAACCACATGTACCCGGCGGCCGACCGACTGCACTTTGGTCTTATCATCTCGCCCCCGTGTCCTACCACACCTGCTCCGGCACAGTGCGCTGCGGGCAATCTACTCGGCCCGAATAATCTCCCAGCTTCACGGTCGGAAGGTACTTTATCCGGCCAGCTAAATGTAAGGCATGCGTTCAACATGACTCGAGGCCCAACAACGGACGGTCCTTAATCGACATAGACGGAAACTAACAGCACCCCAGAACCCTGTCTGGTTGCCTCCAACTTTTCTGTCCGGTCTCCAATTATCCATCACACATGGTTAATTCCAGGATATCATTCTTTCCATAGCTAAATTCTTCCAGTAACCACCTATAAATGTAGGTGACCGGATATCACCGATCGCTACCGGTCTAAGCAAGGCTAAGCAGTTATTCGATCCCGACCAAATAGGGTAATAAGGTAATAAGGTAATAAGGTAAGCAAGGATAATACTAAATGCATCAACGGTTTCAATCAACTCCTACAACTTAATGCAACAATATATAACTATATAGAAAGAATTGCTTTTATAAAGTAGGACACTTAGAATGCTTCGGGGCTTGCTTGGGATCCGACACAAGTCAGTTCAGTTAGCTTGCACCATCCTGGTGACATCTCCGGTCCTAGCACTTGCTTAGTCCTTCCATCTTTGGGATAGATACTCCATACATCGTCTTCGGGTTCGGCTCCAACATCATGTTCTTCACGTGGTTCATCTAGCGCACCTAGATGAGATGCAAGATGCATGTGTATGAATGTGATGAATTGTAACACAAGATGCATCACATAAACATTCAAGACAAACACAAGATTATGCAAGACATAGACACCAATAGCTATTTAACTAACCTCACACCACTAACTATAGAGAGCAAGCTACTCACATCAACTCATATCAAGCAAACAAGTTATTCACAGAAATCACAGAGTCAAGGCTACAACAGCAACAGCTAATTTTACTCATAACAGGAGTTGTACTAATCCAAAAGACATGCAACAAGACAATCTAGAAAGCTTATGGAATTTTCTACAATTCATCTTTAATCATATTAGCATGATTCTCAAGTTAACTAAGTCAAATATATCCATTTACAGAAACTGGTCCACAATTGACAGAAAGCAGCCATTTCTGAAACCCAACTTTAAACAGCTGTAACTCTTAAACTACTTAGCCAAATGACACCAAATTTTAATAGAAGCTAGATACATGAATTATCTACAACTTTTGTATAAACAAGTTTCACAACAAAGCACATTATCATGAAGAACTTTGCTAAGTTCCCAGATCTGTCCATAAACCACATCGGCAAGAAAATAATTATTAACTTATGTTGCAAATACATAATTGGGCAAAACTAACTTTACCAACATTTCACACATGACTAAAGAACACCAGAAAACCTAGTGTCCATGACCAAATAAATTCTTTTAATGCATTTTTAATTTATTTTAGATAACAAGGTGACTTAATGAACATATACCAAAAGTGCACAATAACTTCTACAAAAATTACAGTGGCTCACATATACTCTCAATAGTCTAATGTACAAATTTTACTCCATTTGAATATGTATAGCAACCTCTATGAAAAGAACAAGTTGCTAAAGCAAGAAATCATGTGAGAGCGAGATAAACCAATAACTCACTCATACTTCATCCAATACTCATGAAATTTTTACCACATATCAACTATCATATGAGTAGCATGCCACAAAAATTTTACTTCATTTGGAGCCCTAGATCTACAGTTATGAAAAATAACAAATTCAACTAGCATTACAACCTTACTGCACAAATCTATTTTTACCGTAAAATATTTAAACTAAAACATGCCATATTATAGATCCACTGCATAGACAATTTCACAAGGATTCCAAAAAGTCCTCATTTACTATTTTACGAATTTTCTACGATTTACTATGAATTTCCAAAGTTCCTGCAAAATAATTACAAACCAGTCCTTACGGCACTATTCACATGAGTCACAGGTTCTGCAGAAAGGCCCTCTCCTTTTGTCGAAATGCTGCGCGAGGTCCTTGACGGGGTCTTGAACACAGAGGTCATCGGGATTTCGCCGTTCTGGCCGGAGGAGGCCACACCGGCGGTGGCTGAGGGGCGTGGAAGCATGGAGGAAGCAGGCCACACCCGCAGGTGGCCTCGGCTTGGCCCGAGGCGGCCCTAGGTGGCTTGACCTGTTCTACTTTGACCAAAGTAGGATCACGATGAAGCTTAAATTATCCTTTTTGATCCATTGAAGCATTTTCTTGGCATTTGCCCAACATGAACCTTTCATGACTTTTGTTTTAGAGTTCATCTAGAGTCATTTTGGTAAGGTTGCAAGGTTTGGTTGACATCTCATGTTCTCATTCACTTAATAGTGCAATTCAAGTACTTAGTAAAATCATTCCAACAAGGATATAACTTATCATTTTATGTGACTTTTTGAATCCAAACTTCATGAAACTTTTCGAGTGTCCAATATAGATGGGTATTGATGTGAGACACATGAAGATATCCTAATCACACCATCCAAGCATATATCTTGAAAAGGGGTCTATAGGCGAGCAAAGGTACAATATCCAAGTTTAGTTTGGGGCTCGTTTCTATAGGTTTGACCTTGACATCTTCATCATCACTTAATATACCATGTTTTAGCTCAAACCCATTGCTTAACTGGTGGCAAACACCTGAGGTGTTACAGGCGGCGTCCCCTCGATGGTGCACACGATCACCTTGTGGTCGTTCAGCCCCTCTTCCACCTCGATCAGCAAGTAGGCAAGTACGTCCTGCTTGTCGTGTCCGGACGACAGCGACAGAGCCAGCGAGACGCGCGAGACGAACCAGCCATGGGAGATGAGAGAGAAGGAAGGTTCTATTTTTTATTTGAAAAATAAATGTGAGGTGTTAAATGTAAAATATATGCCATGTTAGCACGCCACGTTAGCAAAAAAAATGTCCACATGGCTAAATGATCTGTGGTACACCACTTAACAAGTTTAGAGATCCAGAAATGTAGAAATGCATTTTCAAAGTTCATGGACCTATGTGACACACACTTACAAGTTCGAGTGTCTCTTGTGCATTTAACTCAAAATACTATCCCCGGCTAAAAACGATGTAATTTGCATCTTTTCTAGAGAGAGGGAGTAGTATTAATATTTATGTTTCCAACTATAATTACTACAAAATTATATTATAGATACCTATGGTACTATAAAATGTTAGTATTTTTTTTGTATAAACTTGAATAAATTTAAAATTGATTGAATTCTTGAAAATTAAGATGTGCGCTTTTTTAGTAGTATATCCAGATGGAAAATAATAAGGATATTCACGCAACTGATTATTGATCGTATCTTGCTTCGTCCCGAAGCATTTCTGGTCACAGTACAACAGAAGAGCACGCGGCGACCCGGAAGTGGCGGTCTCTCTTTCTGCGTCGAAAGTGGCGGTCTCTCTTTCAATTACTCTGGGCTGCGGCCCAAAAAGATATATGGGTTTCGTGGGCGCCAATTTTTTTTTTTTTTTAACTTTGGGCGCCAATTCTTTTACCAGAAAAGACTTCCCCTTTTCCGTGGCGGCCAAGTTTTTGAACCAATCGGCAGCCGCCTGGTTCGCTATCCTGCTCCAATCAACGGTTGGGATGCAACCGAACCCCCTCCCTGAACCTTCCAGAACACACGAGGTTCTCGGTCCAGGAACCTTCTCGACCGCCATTGCCACCCTCTCTCTCTCTCTACCTGTTTATATATGTCTATATGCCTCAACGGCTCCATCCCGTCCCAAGTCCCATCAACACCGTGCTCGAGATCATAAGCACAAGGAGATAGGAGTAGAGGGAGAGAGAAGCAACGATGCCGACTGGTAGGCTGAGCGGCAACATCACCCAGGACTGGGAGCCGGTGGTTCTGCGCCGGACGAAGCCGAAGGCGGCCGACCTCAAGTCGGCGAAGGCGGTGAACCAGGCGCTGCGATCGGGCGCGGCCGTGGAGACGGTGCGGAAGTCGGCGGCGGGCACGAACAAGCACTCCTCCGCGTCCGCGGCGGCGGCAGCGCCCGCCGCGCGTAAGCTGGACGAGACGACGGAGCCGGCGGCGGTGGAGCGGGTGGCGGCGGAGGTGCGCGCGGCGATCCAGAAGGCGCGCGTGGCCAAAGGGTGGAGCCAGGCGGAGCTGGCGAAGCGCATCAACGAGCGCGCGCAGGTGGTGCAGGAGTACGAGAGCGGGAAGGCGGCGCCGGCCCAGGCCGTGCTCGCCAAGATGGAGCGCGCCCTCGAGGTCAAGCTCCGCGGGAAGGGCGTCGGCGCGCCCCTGGCGGCCGGCGGCAAGTGATGTGATGTGAATTGTGATGGTCTTATGCAGATTACACCGTCGATAGCTTGAACTCTGCTTTGAATTAAATGGCGGTGAATCGGATGTGCAGTTTCTGTTTGTAGGATCGTGATTGCGGGGATGTAACGAATTTCCAGTGATCTCTTGATTGGTAAACAGCGGGCAAGTGGTTTCGATTTGGTCCCGTCATCCCGTGGTTTTACATGGTCTCTTTTTACGAGTGATATGGCGAATGAATCTCTGCTTCCTCTGTTTTTCCCGAAAATTTATTAGAACTCCCTGCTTCCTCTGTTCTCATGCGAACTGCGAACAGGTGATTTCCATAGAGACGACATCACGCCAGAGCAGCGAGACGATGTTAGACCGGCGTCCACTATAATATGCGCAGGCTCATTGGAACAGCGAGACGATGTTATGACCGGCGTCCACGATAATATGCGCAGGCTCATTAGTCGCAGAGGAGAACGCCGGCTATAGGGCTACCAGGCCATATTAGTATTATTAGCTATTTATGTTATTTATTTCTTAAATATAAGATTCTAAAGAGGATAAAGACTTTATAAATAATTGAGATTGGAATTAAGGAGAAGCAACCTAATTGTTGCCGGCTTTCCTTGGGACCCCTAGCCGCACCTTCTCTTCTTCCTTGTGCTGTGATCACCACGGCGCCAAACCGCCGCCGCTGCCCTAAAGCCTTGTCCACCGTCCTTCCATCTCTACAACCTTCACAGCAACTCCGGTAGGACATCTAGTCCTATTAATCTGGTATCAGAGATGTCAGGTCCTCCTTCCACCTCCACCAGCCCACCGCCGCCGTCGCCAATCACCACTGCTACGCAGTTGCTGCCATCCGCTTCGGTGGCCGCTTCGTCCTCTACAATGTCGATGGAGCAGATGACCGCGGCCATCCACGAGCTGTCCCGTTCCATGGCCGCGATGCAGTCCTACCTCATCAGCTCGCAGCAGCCGCTGCCCTCCCCACCGCGCCCACCGCCGCCGCCACCCTCGCCGCAATCGGCCATGGCCTCACTGCCACCGGTTTTCCCTGCTGGGATGCCCTAGTCCAGCACCATAGGCATGCCCATCCATCTACTGCGGATGCCGCCCTCCCCGTCGCCGATCCCATCTTATGCCCTAGCCCCGATGGTCAGGCCAGTGTATACGATGACAACGTTTCCGACAACCACGACGTTGGCTGCCCCAGCCCCTACCACAGGTGCCCTGATCCACTACGGTGGGGCGTTACAGCAGCCCTCCTACACGGAGGGGGTTTTCTATGGAGGCGTTGATGGCCCTATACTCTATGGCGACAACATGCAGCACCACCCTGGAGCCTCGTTGTCCGCGACCTTTGATCCAGAACCAGCAGCTCCGGGTGTCAGCCACGGCGCTCACCCTCCGCGCTTCTACAAGTTGGAGTTCCCCACATACGATGGCACCGAGGATCCCCTCAATTGGCTCAATCATTGTGACCAGTTTTTTCCGTGGGCAGCGTACCCTTGCCTCGGACCGCACTTGGTTCGCGTCATACCGTCTCACCGGCGCGGCCCAAACATGGTACTACACCCTCGAGCAAGACGAGGGCATGCCTACGTGGGAACGGTTCAAGGAGCTGTGCAATCTGCAATTTGGGCCGGCTGTTCGTGGGACACGTTTATCCAAACTTGCTCGTCTGCCTTTCACCTCCATGGTACAGGACTACTCCGAACGCTTCAATGCGGTGCTCTGTCATGCTCGGAACCTCTTCGCATCCCAAAAGGTGGAGTTGTTCGTGGGCGGCCTTTCGGAGCACATTAAGGTCGACGTGGAGCTGTGGGAGCCCTAGAACCTCCAAACGGCCATGTATTTGGCCAGGGCCTTTGAACGCCACGCCCTTGCCACGACGCCGGCCACTCCTCAGCGTGGCGCCCGGTCTCCTCAGCGCCCGGGCATCCTAGCACCGCCACGGCCTGCTGCAGCGGTACCAGCAGCCCCGGGGGTGACCACAACTCAAGCACCAGCGAGCGCTGCAGCCCTTGCTCGTCCTTTCCACCGGCTGTCCCCAGCGGAGCAATTGGAGCGCCGACGCCAAGGTCTCTGCTACAATTGTGATGAGCCCTATGTGCGCGGTCATGTGTGCCAGCGCCTATTCTACCTCGAAGCGGCGGATTACCTCGACGATGACATCCCAGCGGAGGTGGCCGCTGTGGCTACTTTTCAGGAGGAGGCTGCTGTGCTTGCGCCTGCACCAGCAGCAGGGCAGGAACCTGTTGCCTAGCCTCAGGTGTCCCTCTATGCCATTGCCGGCATCCGGACCGAGAATGCTATGCTCCTTCCAGTCTCCGTACATGGCCACCGACTTGTGGCGCTCCTCGACTCCGGCTCGACGCACAACTTCATCAACGCTGATCTCCTTCGCCGTCTACACCTCTCTACAGCACCGTACCCTACCATGCGGGTACTAGTGGCCAACGGTGATCGTGTGCCTTGCGAAGGCGTCACCCGGGATGTGGCCCTAGCCATTGGTATAGAGGAGTTCACCATCAGCTGCTATGGCATCAGCCTGGGTGGTTTTGATCTTATTCTTGGCGTCGAGTTCCTACGTACCCTGGGTCCTATCCTCTGGGATTTTGAGGATTTGTGCATGGCTTTCACACGGGGCGCCCGTCGCATTCTATGGAAGGGCCTGCCCTCCCCCCTGCGACGACATCCGGGAACTGGCAGCGCGGGCGATCGTTGCTGCTCCCTCCCAGCCACTACTGGACCGGCTCCTGGAGCAGTTTGAGCCGGTCTTCGCTGAGCCACAGGGGCTCCCTCCGATGTAGCCATATGATCACCGCATCCACCTGCTGCCGGGTATAGCTCCGGTCGCCGTTCGCCCCTATTGCTACCCTCAGTTGTAGAAGGACGAGTTGGAGCGTCAGTGCGCTGCTATGCTAGCCCAAGGCATCATCCGACCGAGCACGTCCCCATTCTCCACCCCCGTGCTGCTGGTGTCCATGGCGGACAACTCCTGGTGCTTTTGCATCGACTACCGGGCCCTTAACGCCAAGACGTCCAAGGACAAATTCCTGATTCCGGTTGTCGACGAGCTTCTCGATGAGTTTCACGGGGCTCGCTTCTTCACCAAGCTCGATTTGCGCTCGGGCTACCACAAAGTGCGGATGCACCCCGACAACATCGCCAAGATGGCGTTCCACACTCACCATGGCCATTTTGAGTTCCTGGTCATGCCGTTCGGCCTTTCCAACGCACCGGCGACTTTCCAGGCTTTGATGAACGACATGCTCCGCCCCTTTTTGCGTAGGTTCATGCTTGTGTTTTTCGACGACATACTCATATATAGCGCCTCCTGGGCCGAACACCTGCAACACCTCAGCATCGTCCTCAATGCACTTCGGGCGCACTAGCTCCACCTCAAGCGTTCCAAGTGTTCTTTTGGGGCGTCATCGGTGGCCTACCTAGGCCACATGATATTAGCACGCGGTGTCGCTATGGACACCGACAAGGTGGCTGCAGTCGCCTCGTGGCCGGCCCCTCGCTCCGCCCGTGGGCTGTGGGGCTTCTTGGGCCTCGTCGGCTACTATAGAAAGTTCATCCGTGACTTCGGCCTCATCGCTGCGCCACTGACATGCCTCCTACGGAAGGATGCATTCGCTTGAGACGACGAGGCGGAAGCGGCATTTCAGGAACTCAAGGGTACCCTGTCCACGGGACCCATCCTCCAAATGCCCGACTTCGACAAGCAGTTCATGGTGGACTGTGATGCGTCAGGCGCTGGGTTCGGCGCTGTTCTCCACCAAGACGCCGGACCCCTCGCTTTCTTCAGCCGTCCCTTCGTTGCTCACCATCTCAAGCTCGCCGCCTACGAACGCGAGCTAATTGGGCTGGTTTAGGCTGTACGTCACTGGCGACCATACCTATGGGGGTGTGATTTTCTTGTTCATACAGATCACTACAGCCTCAAGTTCCTGCTGGACCATCGCCTCTTAACTGTACCTCAACACCAGTGGATCAGCAAGTTGTTTGGCTTTGATTTTGCTGTGGAGTATTGCCCTGGTCGCCTGAACATCGTGGCGGATGCGCTGTCCCGCCGCGGCATGGAGGAGGGTCCAGCTACTGTCCCTGCTGCTCATGCCCTCTCTGGGCCGACGTTCACCCTCTTTGATGACATTCGCTGGGCTACAATAGCAGCTACGAACGCCCAGCAGCTCCTCCAGTGCTTGCAAGCTGGTGAGTTGCCGGCACCGTGGCACTTCGACGATAGTCTCCTTCTCCACGAGTCCCGCATCTTCATCCCGAACCACGACGACCTACGCCACCAAGTCCTCCTCTTGGCTCATTCGGTGGGCCATGAGGGGGTCCAGAAGACTCTGTACCGCTTGCGCACCGACTTATACATTTCGGGAGACCACGCCCTTGTCCAGGATTGGGTGCGGGTGTGTAGCACGTGCCAGTGAAACAAGATGGAGTCGCTACAGCCCGTTGGCCTGCTGCGGCCCCTCGAAGTACCATCCTAGGTGTGGGTGGATATCTCCATGGACTTCATCGAGGGGCTGCCCCAAGGTCAGCGGCAAATCTGTCATTCTCACGGTGGTCGACCGCTTCTCCAAGTATGCGCATTTCATTGCCCTTGGTCACTCCTACACCGCCGCCTCCGTTGCCCATGCTTTCTTCTACGGCATCGTTCGACTGCATGGTTTCCCTTCTTCCATCGTCAGCGACAGGGACCCCGTGTTCACCGGTCACGTGTGGTGTGACCTCTTCAAGATGGCAGGCGTCACCTTGCGCATGAGCACGGCCTTCCACCCTCAGACGAACGGCCAGTTGGAGGTGATCAACAAGGTGATTGTGATGTGTTTATGTTGTGTTACAGGTGATCGGCTACGGGTGTGGGTGGACTGGTTGCCTTGGGCGGAGTATTGCTACAACACCTCCTTTCATACCGCCCTGCGTGCCACCCCGTTCGAAGTGGTCTACGGCCGCCCGCCCCCGCCGATACTACCATACCATCCCTTATT